CACATAGGCCTAGAGATTTGTCTGTGATTCTCTCACAACTTCTGGTTGCTACGGAAAAGTCAGTATGTGCTACCATGAAAACACCCTTGTCATTGTTTTAGCTGCTAGCAGATCACCTGCAGATTGCAAGGAAGACACTAAAGAAGACATTAATTGGTCACTCACCAACTATTTGATGAGTGGTAGTGAAACTGTCAAGTGTGTGACACAAACCAGAAATGCAGACCATTCACCTTCAAAGGAAAAAAGTTGTGCTTTACCATGGCAACGGTCTCGCTATCTGGTTTATGTAATACTTTTTTTTTTTTTTTTACAGTTTTACTATTGCTTTGGGACTGGTTTGCAAGTGTTTGCACACAACTTGGCATCTTCCCTGGAAATTACTGGTGATCACCATAACTCACAAGTGACAAAAGCAATCACAAGGTTTTTGATCCAACACTGCCAGCAACCTCTAGATACCACTCACCACCTAGTAGTGGAATTCACCTTTTTTCAGGACCTGTGGCTACAAATCCAGTCTCTAGGTCTGTGTGACTGAGGCCTTGCTTGGTTAATATTAGCAGATTCCAATAACAACAAGACAAAGGCATGAGTTTATTTAAGTTGAAGAAAAAAAAAACTGCTTTCGATTTGCAATGAATGGAAAGCATTTTTTTCAGTTCTTGTCCTTTCCTTTGTTCTTTAAAATAAAGAACAAGTAAAGGACATGAAAAATATGCACTTTCTAGTTTGATGCTAATGTTTTTACTATACAGAATAAAATATAAGCTCTGCCAGCTGAATTAACTGACAAGCAAGGAATGATTGGAAAAGACTATAGTGATGCTAGAATTAGACGTATTACTCTACACTAAAACAGCATCATCACTAGACGAAACAGGTCAAACCTTATCTTATCCCGAACACACCAGACACTGAAACAGAGGAACAGATTTTCCTCACATCATCATTTTCTGAAATATGCTAGTCTGGCACCTTACTGACAAAGTGAGTTTGTGAGTTTGTCAGTGTCCACTGTGATATTTTTGACAGTTGAGGCTGAAAAAGGCAGATTTTCTTATAATTCAGTTAAATATTTGCATCATAAAGTCAAATGTTTCCTCTTCATTAGCTCAGCTCTTGGTCTCAGCTACCTCCCAAAGAAAAAAAAAATCTTCCTCTTCGGGGCTTGCAAAATCGCTAGCCCGACGTCCCGGAGCTACAGATATCTCTGGTCGGGCGACCAAAATCTATCTCAGCCTCGCCTGTCGGGTTATCATATAGCCCGATGGGCTTTTGTGCCCTGCAGAGTCATGACAGTTGTTTTTCAATTTTTGTCTATTTAATGATATACTGCTTGAATCCCCCCAAAATTTGAAAAGAGAATAAAGTAGTGAGAGATTAAATAAAATAAATTAAATATTCGATGTGTATTCAAAGTACTTGAGTGACTTTCTTCTAAACTAATTTTATTTATTTATTATCTTTCAAAGAATATACTATAAAACTCCCACTGACCCTGCTAATCAGGTATTATCTGCATACGTGATTGTCCTTAACCTAACTTGCATGTAATGAACATGGTGTCCCACAAAGAACCTGTTTATAACCACTACTATTTCCACCGAAAATCTTATAAAATGTGTTTCAGTAGAAAGACGTCCTTCAAAAAAATTAATTAATTTTAAAAAATGTTTGAGTGTTATTTAAAATAGATTTTAAATAACACTCAAACACAATATACTTAATAGTATATCGTAGTATCAATTAAGGTTCACGATACCATCCTATTTATCAGCTGTGATAGCTGGAGAGCTGTGTAGTGCCTTAAAAACAAGAGAAAGAGAAAGAAAAAAGCCACATGATTCGCTGTAGTCTTTTCCAGGCATTATATGGCATTATATGGCCCTGACTTATCGAAGAATTAAGGAAGCGGAACCGGCTGTTCAAACCCCCACAAGGCTGCCCGCTGGGATTGGAACGATGGGAGAGGCGTGAGTTTCTCAAAATGGGCTCATTGAGTGCAGCACGGATAAGATCTTGGAGAGGCTACGGCTGCTGTGAATACTCAGGATAAGATCTCTGACTGCAGACTGGATACATCTCGGAAGGGCTAGCTTGGAATAACATCTCTGGGCGCAAATTGGATGACATCTCGGGGAGGCACACTGCCGCGAGTTCTCAGAATCGGCTCGTGGAGCACAAGAAATGACAACATCACAGAACGCAAGTATGACGAAGCTCGCGGCTCTCCAACAGGAGATTGAGAGACCAGTGTTGGACTGTAGAACTGCTTTGAAATTCATATGACCTGTTCGCACTAAAGTAAAAACCACCATCACTTCATGCGGATACCCCTTTGGTGCCAGCTGCGGTCTCAAGGCTGGAGCCGATCAAAAACACCCTGATAACGACTGTGTTTAGTCTGTTCCTTCCCATTCCATGCAAGACCACCTGGGTTGGCTGGAAGACTGTTTACTTAGCCTAGCAGGGCAAAGGACACTGTCTCAGCTGAACTGTGGACACACACACACATACATATACACTGATATGCACACACTCATCCCCCACTCCCTTTCCAAACGCCTTCGACGCTTATTCCCTTCCGATGCTGACAGTGGATCAGGGAGGCCAGTGCACAGGCTGCAGGCCCGGATGTACTGTCTAAATCGGCTGTCTCTCACCCCTTTACCCACCCCTGTTGCTTGTCATGTGTTTCTTTGGTGTATTAAGAGTTTTTTCATGTGCTATGTGCAGAGGTGTTTTTTTTTCTGTTCTCAAACTGATCTCCCTGTTGGAGCTCAGTCTGGGGGGAGTTATTTCTTTCTCCTTATCTTTCCTCGTGTGGTGCATTTTCCATTGTTATACCTCTCTGACCTGTCTTCCCCATGTGATGTTTTGTGTAATGTATGTATGGTCGGAGGGTAAGATGGCCCCGCCATTGCGTGCAATAGGTCGGCAGCCTTATGAAATTTCCCCTTGTGGGACTAATAAAGGTATATCAAAATATAACAGGGCAAGACATACTGGATACAATAAATACAACAGTCTAATGGTTAACATTCATTGAATTTTGCCTTTTTTCCACTGAGATTGTTTTTTTGAGAGTTTTTTTTTTAATTTCTCAGAAGAAACTTACATTTACAAAAATGAAAGATTTTGGCATGCAATTACGTATGAGATGGAAGCAGAAGCAGATGTCAGCCTGGTCTAAATAACTAATACAATCTTGTTTAGTAGTGAATGTACACAAACAATTGTGACTATTAAGTATCATTAAGACCTACTTTAACAAATGTCCTATGTCATAATACATTAAAAAAAAAAAAAAACACATTGTAATGCAACACAAATATTTATTACAAATACAAATTAATAGAAATAGCAACATAAATAATTCCAGATAAAATATTTAAATTTGAGCAAGACAAAGATTAAGGCTGAAGGTTTGAAGAATATTTGGGTACTCTATTAGTCATAATACTGGAAATTCAGAGAGTTCTGGTTGCAAGAGCCATGCATAACTGAGCAGAAGCAGAAGCAAAAAGAAAAGGCTTCCAAGGAAATATAAGTAAACCAAAAAGCATTTAAATCAATACTTAAGACAAACATGAGTAAGCATTGCTGTAAACCAAAAGCAAAAGGCTGGATGGAAATACAAAAGCAGCCCAAAACAACACAACGTTATGAGAGAAAGGGTTCAGAAAGCTATAAAGAAACACATTCATAATATATGAAATCAAAAAGATGGTGTGGTTAACATGTAAGAGGGAAAGGCACAGTACATGCAAATGTTCCAGCTGTTTCAGAATGAAAACATAAAATTCAGATAAACACAAAGAAGCTTGTGTATTCCAGAGGTGGAAAAAGGACAAACATTCTGTACTTAAGTACTGATTTAACTTCTTTACTGAAGTAAAAGTGAAAAAGTACTGGCTATGAATGTATTCAAAGTAAGAAAGTAAAAAGTACCTCTTTGAAGGACGTTTCTACTAGCGATTTTTGTGCAAAGCTAACTGAAGCTTGTGCTGTATTAATGTAATAATAAAATATTAATAAATGAGAATGCAAACTTTAGTTTAAATCTTAATTGAAAATGAGAAAATAAGCAGAGAAAAAGAAGGAAACAAAAATAGCTCTATTTTCTTTTGCTTCCATTGTACAAAATGACTTTGCCTCTAAGCAGAAAATGAGTACACTCAGGGGTGAAAGTGGGATTCAGTAGGTAGTGAAACCCTAAAATAGGTTGAATTGGCTCTAGGGCTGCTCAATTAATCGAATTTTAATCACGATTACGATCTGGGCTTTCAACGATCATTAAAAATGACTGAGCCGATTATTAGCCCCTCCCTCGTGCTTTACTCTCGCGCTGCTCCGTGTGGCAAATCGAGCGCACGTCTCTGCATTTCGAACACGTGTCACAACAATTAAGAGCAGCGGTCCCCAACCTTTTTTGCGCCACGGGCCGGTTTATGCCCAGCAATATTTTCACAGACCGGCCTTTAAGGTGTCGCGGATAAATACAACAAAATAAAACTAGTACCGGTACCAAAAAAAAGAAGATTTATTCATAACACATGTGAAAAGACCAAGGAAAACCGAGTAAACGATAAAAACAATAACAAAATAACGCTGAAAACCGATAAAAACCCTGAAAACTATACATTTCACACCTGAGCCTCAACTCTCTCATACCAAACGACTCACGGACCGGGGGTTGGGGACCGCTGATTAAGAGGAAGTTCGGAAAGCTAAGCAGAAGTTATTTGGAGAGGAGAGTGACTGCCGTTGGTTGAAAAGAGAGGTAAAAAAAACTTCAGTGGTGTGGAAATATTATGGGTTCGCGGAGTCAGAACTCATTTTTCATTAATTTTTTATATTGCAAACATTTGCACTGTTATCAGTATTTGCACACTATTTTATATTATTTTTTGACAATCTTTAAAGTCATTATTCAATACATTGTTATTGTTAAATAAATATCGTCAAATAATCGAGATCTTAATTTCAGTGAAAATAATCGTGATTATCATTTTTGCCATAATCGAGCAGCCCTAATTGGCTCAGTGTGGGGAAAAGAATCACAATTTCTATTGTGGGCTCCAGTATATTTTCTGAGTGTACAGGCTGTGATCAACTGATCTGGGCTACTGCTCTGAGGTTTACTGCTCTCTGTGGAGAACTGAATTCAACAAATGTAAGAAGATATTTTATGAGTTGCCCTGCTGTTCTCTGCTGTCAGCACTGTTTATGCTGTCTCTATACTAAACAATATAGAGGTGGAATTCAGTGAATGAATCTAAACTTCATCAACTTAACTTCAAATTCATAACATCACCTTACTGAACGCTAACCAGCTTATCCTGCACTAGATTATTTTAATGCAACCTTTAACTAACACAGATAATCTAGCTTAGTTTGCTTTGCAGCATGCTTCACAATATGAAAAAAAATTATCAAATACCACTGAGCAGTCCGTACTTATAAATATAACCTCCTGTCTTCCTTATCTATTTCCATCATTTAGTGAAGTTAGCTCTTTCTTTTCTCTCCCTGTGAAATACAGTGTCTGGACCTTTGGCTAACAACACACTGTGACAAACTGTAGACACAAACAGTTTGTGTTTGCTGATGTTTACTGGTAGAAATGCTGCATTTGAAATTACCCCTCCTTTATAGCACTACCTAGATGCAGAAATAATGCAACCACAACTCATGGACACCTGCACTCGTCCTGGTGTTGCTCCAAATAAACCACAGGCCCGAACTTAAACCCCTCACTATGGCGCATGCTCTGGTGATTACAAATTGGATTTCCTCTCATGTGTTATTGTTTAGCCTCAAATCGGTTTGATGTTTGAAGGCGCACAGTGACGTTCTGAAAATGTAAGGAATAGAAAGTACAGATATTTGTTTAAAAATGTAGGGAGTAAAGATAAAAAGTTATCTGAAAAAAAAACAACAACTTGATTCAAGTACAGATACCTGAAAATTCTACTTAAGTAGTTTTGGCAAACACAAAAGATAGATGATAAACACATGGAAATTTGTGTAGAACATGAAAGCTCAGATAGTCTCCAGGTGCAAAAAGAGAAAGAATAATATCTTACTAGGAAAAAATAAGGTCAATAAAAAATTAAATACTGAAAAACAAAAATAATTATGTGAAATCCACATCTGTTGTGCTTTTGCATTTAAGTACTGCCTGCAAGGCAATTTTAACCAAGACATTGAATCCTTATTTCACCAGCATTAGCATGGATACTTGATCTTTTAAGCTACCTGCCTTCTATTGTTCAGTCACATCCACACTGCTTGTCGTGCATTTCGAAAGGGTCAATATTACATGCTAATTCACTAATGTAAACTATGTGATATTGACTTTAAATGTCTAATGTTTCATACATCTACAAAGATCTATTACTGGACATTTTAAAAATATAACTGGCTTAACTGTCTGGCTAATCCACTTTGTCTTCCCTTCTCTTACATAAATGTATTGTAGTGATTTTCTTTGCAGATGACAAAACTTTATATAAAAATATACAATTTATTCTCCTGACATTGTTTTGGTTATGTTAATTAATTAACTGAGTAATCTCATACAAAACTGAATACAATGTAGTTTTAACTATTTATACAGAAAAAGTAATGTGACCTGTATCAAGCTTTTCTAGTATGGCCATTTTTATAACAATATTTATTTATTTTTTTTACTTTTCAGACTTTGATCGTGTCCATTTCCTGTTATTCAATAAATCAATAAATCAATAATATTGATATAAGGGCCCTTATTATTTCAGATTGAGGTATTGAGGTAAAACATCATCCCAGAACTCCTCTGACTCACCTGCCGCCTGACCTTTGACCCCTAACCTTAGTTTGCTTCTAGTTGCTGATTTAGCACTTTGTCTTTTCACTTCAGCAGACCTTTTCTTTTTGACAACCTTCTCCTCTTCTTCTTCTTCTTCATCTTCCTTCTCTTCCTTGTCTTCTTCTTCCTCACTCTGGTCCTCCTCATCTTCCGCTTCAGCCTCCTTTTCCTCACTTTCTTCCTCCTCTTCTCCTTCTTCTTCCTCCTCCTCATCCTCTGTCTCTTCCTCCTTTTCCTCACTTTCTTCCTCTTCTTTTTCTTCTGCCTCCTCTTCATCCTCTGTCTCTTCCTTCTTCTCCTCACTTTGTTCATCCTCTTCTTTTTCTTCTTCCTCCTCCTCATCCTCTGTCTCTTCCTCCTTTTCCTCACTTTGTTCCTCCGCCTCCTCTTCTTCCTCAATTTCACTGTTTTCCTCTTCACTACTCTCTTCTACTTCTTCAGCACTACTTTTTTCTTCCTCCTCTTTTTCATCTTCTCCTTCTTCGGTCTCCCTCTCTTCCTCACTTTCTTCTCTCTCTGAAGACCTCACAGACTCACTTTCAACCTCATCTTCTTCACCCTCACTCTCCAAACTCCCTTCTTCTTCCTCGTCCCCTTCTTCCAAGTCACTTTCAGTATCTCCACGTTTGCTCTCTGTTTCGTGACTTGACCCTTCCTCACTTTCCTCTTCCTCCGACTCCTCTTCTTCTACATCACCTCCGTTTCTGTCTTTCTCTTCAGTCTCTGTTTTGCTTTCACTTTCTGTTACTCCACTCTTTTCCTCCTCCTCTTCTTCATCTTCTACCACAACATTGCTCTCATCCTCCTCCTCATCTACATCGCTGTCTGACTTCTCTCCAGAGTGAAGAGTGTCACTCTCTTTTTCATCCTCAGTGTTCTCTGCCACTTTCTTAATAATGTGACTAACATCCTCCTCTTCCTCGCTTACTTTTGCATCTGTCTGCCCTTCTTCCTCTTCACCCTCTTCGTCATTATCCTCCTCTTCCTCTTTGATTGCGGCAGAGTCCATCTGCTGTTCACTTTGATCTGAGATTGTCCTCATTTCAGGACTTTCAGGTGCGGGTATGATGTTGATGCTGACAGCAGATCTGTGGCTAAAATTGGCAGCGTAAGATTCAGATTCCTCACTCAGTGATTTAGTCACACCCTCTTTAAGTACAGCACAACTGTTCTCAGAAAGGGATGTGGAGCTTAATCGTCTTCCAGCTTGGATCAAAGCTGCTCCTGCAGCGAGCGAAGCAGCTCCAACAAGCAGGCTGAGATCTGTTGACTTTTCCTGAACCTCTGACCCTTTTTTGATTTGAGCTTCTTTCATGTTTTTTTCATTCTTGTTTTTCTTAGACAAATCTGTTTTCTTCTCTTTAGATTTGGGGATTTTTTTCACCTCAGAAACCTGCTGAGAGCCCACTATGCTCTCTTCATCCAAAGTGTCACTCAGGTGAAAGCTTGCTGAGTCTGTATGACTGAGTTTACCTGGTGAACTGATTCCTGTGGGTTTGCTTTTAACCCTCACAGGCTTAGACTTCACTTTCTCAACTTTAGCAGATTTAGAGTTGAAATCTAAACTTTTCTTCATAGTTTCTGGACTTTGTTTTGAGTCTGCTGCCAGTTTCCTGTGAACCCCTATCACCTGGCTTTTACTGTGAACTTGCATTTGTTGCTCTTTGGATGCTGCCTTATTTATGTCCCTGATGCTTGTAGGTTTGTTTTTACTGGGCCTCTCCTGCAACTCCTCTACAGCCAAGATCAGATTCACCTTGTTCTGGTTGCTTTTCTGATGTCTCTGGGGGCTCTGCGGGCCCTGAGTACGAGTGCTACGACTCCTCAGGAGTTCAGTGGGTAACGCCCGGAGAGGAGAGGCAGCCTCACTCTTACAAGACAGCGAAGTGGAAGAGAAACTGCTCTGCTTTGAGAGCTTTCTCTGCTTTCTTTGACTCTGTTCTTTTATAGCCTTACCATTCTTACCCTTCCTCTATCCTCGGTGCAAGAAAGCAAGAAAAGGATGGAAAAAAGAGGCATGCATTAGAGAGGAAGAGACATGCAGAAACATCAAAGGACATAGCACACAAAGTAAGAGTTTGAGTTACCTTTTGAACTGGAGACAGCGTGAGGGTTTTATCACTGGGGTCTATCTTCATCACATGAGTCTGTCAGGAAGGAGCAGAGATGAAATCAGCAGCAAAATGTTATATTTGTCTTTTTTTCTGAGCAACATTTAAGATGATGTCATTGATCTCTTACCATGTTGAGGAAGTCTCTGGTTTCTCCAAGACCTCTCACGCTGTCAGTGTCTGTCAGACTTTCCACAACACTGTCTGTCTCCCCACCTGCCAGCTCTGAAAACAGGACAGCATTATCTTCAGCAGCAGCTTTCCAGATACAGGTAATATCACATAGTGACAAAGATGAACAAATACGTAAGATGTTTTTAAAAAAAATCAAGATTTTGAGAATCTGACCTCTTTATTTACAGATTTCAAATCTGCAGAAAACCCTGAGATCAAGAGAAACTCATTTAACTTTCAGGGAAAGGGCATGAACAACATGAACACCAATTGTCAAATGTCAAAAATACAAAGCTCACATTCTCATTTTTCCCAACTTCATCTTAGTGCTTCTAGGTCTTAGAAACATATACCGTACAGGTGTCTGTTTTCATAAAAATGAATAAGGGATCTTGAGGAAGCCAAAGGGATAGGATTTATCAGAGATGTGACTCAAGGAGACAAAAAAAAAAGACAACAACCTCCCCAAAGTCTAACAAAAATGCAAATAATATTGTCCAAAACTTTGATGTAACAGAAAGAGGATGAGGCAATGGCGGTGCAGATGAAGTAGGTACCCTGGTGGGTCGACTCCTCGTTCCTGTGCTGGTAAGTGCCATTGAGCACCTTTCCGTGGATCACCTCAGGCGGAGCCAGTCGTGGTGGTATAGTCTGGCTGGAGGCTGTCAGTGGCGGGAGGAGGTTACCTGGTGTCATGGCAGGCAGCGTGCGGAACATGGTGCCAAACTGGTCTGGAGATCGCTCCTGAATCAGAGGGTTTAGCCAATGAGCGATATTAACCCATGAACTTCTTTAGAAACGAACTGTTATCTGCAGATAAACTATAAAAAGTGTCACGTTCATTGTCCTCATACCCACCCTCTCCCTCCTGCGAACCCGGGCTGAGAGGCTCCTCTGCAGCGTAGATGAGTCAACTGTGTTACCCAGCAGTTCCACGTATGGTTTCTCCAGGAAATTTTCCGTCACATCGTCATCCTCCAGCGTGACCTCACCGGTTCCCCGGGCCCTCGGCCGAGCCAGCACCACCATGTGACATCCGCCGCACATCGCCTGGACACGTCAGCAACCAAATTAAAGTATTTGCATGCATGAAAGTCACCCAGAAATGCACAAAAATAGAAAATATATATGATTATAAATAAATAAATGTTTTTAAAATATAAAATGAATTTTATATTTTTATATATGTATGTATTTAGGATTTTTGTAATTAAAAAAATAATAACACATTTTAAAAATTGACACAAAACTGACACAAATATACATAATTTTTTAAATTATGTATTTAAAGAGTATAAAAGGTAAAAAAAAAAAGACAAATGGAATGGTTATTATATTGCACTTTCTACTCTGAGCACTCAAAGTGCTTTACAAAAAAATAAAAAAATTTTAAAAGGTAAAACTCATTTAAAATTTTATATATTTTATGTTATATATGCAATTATGAATAAAAATTGAAAAATGAACATAATTTTTTTTTAATGTAAAAAGTGAAGACAAAAAATTAAAAAGATATAAGAAATGCGACAATAAAATTACATTGTCTTTAAACTTATGAAGTATCTCCAAGCCTAATTAAATAATTCCTATACATTATTTTAAGTTCTACTGCATGAACAAATGTAAACCTGTCTGTATGAAACACTTACTCCCTGAACATTATACTTCAGGAATCGCAGGCACAGCGTTGGTTTAAACTGGTTAGTGAAGTTTTCTTCTCCCAGACCAAGTTTTCCATGTCTGCCATCTCCAAACGTGTATAGCAACCCGTCTTCTAAAAAAAAAAAAAAAGATTAAAATTTCTGACATCAGATCCGTGAAGAAACTCTTCTGTTCAACTCTGTTGTCAATGAGAAGCTCGGCATTAATGAACCGAGCTGAGATTTACCTGTAATGACAGCGGTGTGGTTTTCTCCACAGGCCACCTGACAGGCTCGTCCCTTCTTGAAGTGCTCAACCAAACGCGGCACCCGGGACTCAAAGATGAATGTCCCATGGCCGAGCTGTCCGAACTGACCGAGGCCGAACGTGTACACACTTCCCTCTGAAAGAAACCAACACAATCAGAGGCGTTTGCAGCATGCTGCAGTATTTTATTCCCCTGTTTGAGAGCATTCTGTAACTTTTTAGTAAGATTGAAGGAAGGGGGAAACCAACTGAGAATATTATTCTCAGTTAGTTATTTAAAGGAAATAAATAAATAACATGTCTTATTTGCTGTCATCAGACATTTACCTGCGAGTGCCACTGTATGTCCACCCCCACAGGCCACCTGCGTCACTGGCTCCTTGATGCTCTTCACCAGCTGAGGCACTCGGTGCCCTGGAAGCTGGTGGGTGCCCAAACCCAGTTTTCCGCTGTCCCGCTCGCCAAATGTGTACAGAGCGCCATCCACTTGGAAAACAAAATTAGGAAATACTCAGAGCTATCCACTGGTTTTAGGTCCAGAACGAATAGGGGAAACAAAATTCTGGTTAAACTTAAAAAAACTTTTTAAAAAAGTGTCACTTGATTTTAAAATATGTTAAATTCTATAATAATATTTATATGCAAAAATCAAAACACCTAAATTTAAATGAACAATGGAGTTTTGATTTTTTAAATTATAAAATAATATGGTGAATGAAAATCTATGGAAATAAGATACTTTTGCCAATTAACTTGCATTAAAAAAAAACTTTTATTGTTCTGATTTTTACATTAGTATAAATACACACGTGTGAGAATTATTCTTTTATATTTTAGCCACTGTCACCCATGTTCCTTATGCTATCTGTAACCATGTGCGATTTGCAGGCTCACTGCAAAGTGATGAATGGTTATTTGGGACCTATCTCTACTCACCTGTCACTAAAGCTGAATGGTAGTACCCGCAGGAGACCCAGCTGATTGGTCGGCCTACACTGACTTCCTGGGGTGATGACACCTGACTCTCCTTACCCAAACCAATCTGACCCTCTGTGTTATCACCCCACATAAAGAGTTTACCACTCGCTGGAAAAGAAATAAATAAAGAGATTACGTTTATTTTGGGAACACATTTATCTGTTAACGACACTTTGTTCTCTCTTCTACACTTCAGTTTTAAACTTGCAACATTTTCTAAAACATAAGGAATCTTTTTACTTCAATTTTGTTAACCAAATTTTTCATTTGATAACAGAATAACTATAATTTAATTACAAATGAATTTCATGAAATTATCTTTTTTTTTTTTTTTTAGATGCTGCAGAAAATACAGAATATACAGATGAAATACAAATTTAAACAAAATACAAAAAATATAAAAACATGAATGTTTAAAAAAATAATTTTAAATCAATAATGTTTTTAGATTTTTTTTTACTTTAAATCTAATTTATGAGCAAAGTCTAAAAAATAAAATCGAACATCCAGTAGTACAATATGTATGATATATGTATATATTTAATTTTAATTTCATTTAATCTTCAATATATATTTATATAATTAAATTCCAAGGTAAAAAAAACATACATTAAAAATTTTAATGTTTTTAATCTCATTACACTAACAAAAAATAGCAAAAATATAATTTACAATTAAATAAAGTAAGATAAAATACATATACAATGAATAAAACAATACAAAAACTGCATATCTTAGTGTAGATGTAGGCACAATTATGAAATATACATCAAAAATGATCAAAAACCTTAAAATGAAAATTAACTAACATTTAATTTACATTTATTATATGACTTCCCTTAATGTTTACTGGCAGTTAAGCTCTGATTAGCTGTGATCAGAGCTAACAGCTGAATTACAGTGTTGTGTGGATCTTACCGGTGAGAGCTGCTGAGGTGTTCGAACCCGCAGCAAGCATCTTGATTGGTCCTTGTGAATCAAAAAAATCAAGTCTCTTGAAGGAAGTCCTCTCATCACAGTCTCCAAGCCCCAGCTGACCCTCGCTGTTCCCACCTGAGGCATACACCTTCCCTTGGGCTACAGACACACATCAACACAAGCGTGTTTAATATTCATCAGCACTTGAAAGAAAACAGTTGTGAACACTAAACACTGACCTGTGCAGATAAGCGTGTGGTTTCTCCCGCAAGCCACCAGTTGAACTTTCTCAGACTTCAGGGCTGAAACATCACAAAGAAATTTAAAACTATGGGAACGGTAATCTGGAGAGCGCAGCTTACCTCATCATCTTTTGATAACTTTAGAAAAGATTCATGAAGAAAAACAAAGTGTTCTCAGTACAATTCAATGCAAAATACAATAATTCCAAACTGTTATAAAATTTATTAAAGACTTGTGGTCATTTTTAATATTATATAGAACTTTTCCAACATAGACATTGCATAAATTTTGAGGCCCAGCTCCCTCCATCTACTAATGACCAAAAAACTAAAATCACCAGAAAATAGAATTAATCAGACTTGAGTTTAATTTCTAGGATTATTTATTACATTTAGATTTTCTGTATTGAACAACTATTTCCAGTAAGAATGATCCTTTCTTTTTAAAGTAATTTTCAGATTAAATTCACACTTAAACAAACCTCATACAGGACACATCCTTTTCTCTGTATCTGAGGAGTGGCACTTACTGTTTCTCAGCTAATGTCCCTCCAGATTTAAGCAGATTATTAGCCCTCTAGACTGAGATTATATTTACAACAAAGTCACACTTTATTTGAAGGCTTTGTCTCCTCCTCTTCAGGGACTCCCTCCTCACTGCCTGTTTAAACTGGCTGAAAGCAGCTTTCAGTGGCACTACTCATCCTCTATAACTTTTTTTTTAGAACTGAAACAGTGAGAAGGTGCCATAAAGACCAACCTTTGACACAGGTGGGTTTGTTGACAGTCACTTTGGAGCCAAGGCCGAGCTGGCCCCAGTTGTTGCTACCAAACAGGAAGAGCTTCCCATTTTCTGTGAAGACACAGAGAAAATCTCCTGAAAGGGACTCTGTGATGTTTCAGCAGGATTCATTTTAAAGTGACACGGGGCTGGATTCAGTTACAGTCACAAAACAAAATAATAAAAAAAGATAAGAGAAAAAAAGCTGAAAATCTAATTTGGATAATAAAGAAAGCTTTTCCTCAAATTAAGTAATTGTACGTAATTGTAAAAATCCCCTCCAAAAGATAACCATGAAATTAAACTAAAATTTAAATTGAAGAAATGTATTGAAATTTTGACTTACTTGACTGATACAATATATATTTTTTGTAAACATGTAGATACAAACAAAAGTAAAGAGTAAAAATAATTTTGTATTTTAAAAATGACAGTAGGTTAATATTGTAAAGCACAACATTAAAAAATAATCCAAATCTTAAAATGGAGGTTAATGTATTTATCTTTTTTTTTTTTTAATAAATCTAATTTTTGTACATCTAAACAAAACCGAGAAAACATATCAGTTCTGATATGTTAGAGCAGACATATTTTAAGAGGACAGCGCAAGTGAAACTAAATCAAAACAGTATTTCCAGCTTTCACGTTTGTCAGCAGTGTACAAACACGTAAATGAGTATTACCTGGAACATAGGAGGGGCTCTCACCTGTTATTAAGGCGGTGTGCTCATCGCCGCACGCTATTCTGAGTGGGATGTCATTTTTAAGCCAAAATTTACTTGGAATGTTGTCAGCGAACTTGCTCTTTCCAAAAGTGAAAACTGCCCCCGATTCTGTAAGAAGAGACCAAAAAAACCAATCACCAACTTGGATTAATTTTCAAGTTTAACCACACCAAATGTGATGTTTCAGCCCTTTATATAAAAGATGGATGGATGGAGCCACCTTGATGTCAGTCTAGTGTTAGTGAAACCTCAAGCTGAGTAATTTTTTTTTTCCATCCAGACGTAATTTGCTGTGGAACGATCTGACTGTGACACCAAAGGACACAGCGTGCTCATATGATTTCAACTTGTCAGTCAAAATTAAGGTCCTAACTTGCTTCATCCTCCTTTCTGATTCTGATAATGACCATAATTTACCAAATTAAGTAAGCATTGGAGCTCAGAGAATTCATCAGAAAAGTGTTTACTGAGGTAAGAAATCAAGGGAGGAGCAGGTTCATTTTCTCATAGACTCCTTTATAAGGAAGCTTTGATTTATAACTACAAGCATTACCGCCTAGATGGCCATTAAAAAGAAAGGAGGTTTGATGCACTCTACGTCTTGACTTCAATTTTCAGATCCTGAACATGTCCACACGTGTCCACGTGTGGACAGTCTATAGAGGCTTGTGTCCTCCACTAAAAAACAGAAACTGCTTTTGCTATGCATAATTCAAATTTTGAGGTTAGTATTTGAAAATTTTTAATTAATGACTCAAAATTGTGTTTTTCATACCTGACTCGAAATTTCAAGTTATTAAGCTAACATTTTGAGACAATCTTCTCATTTCAGTTCTCTTCTCATAGTAACTTACAGTATATATTTTTGTTTACGTGGTTTATGGCTATGTGCATACTTGTTGCTTGCATCTTGGATATTTTAAAGTTTTGCATAATCCCAACAAATAAACCAAAACTAAGACACTAAACTAACTCAAAATGTTTATTTAGTAGTTTTTACCATTTAACTAGCATCATTTTGGTTACATTTTTTTCACATTAATTAAAAATTAGCCAAAGAGTCAAGTTAACCCAATGTGAAGTCTTCAAATGTCTTGTCTTCTCAAACAAGAAGTCTACGCCAAAATATGTATTCAGGAATAACATATTTTTCCACTTGGAAAAGATCTAGTCTGCATAAAAAAGAAGAGGAGGAAAACGTTCAAATTTGAGTGCTGCAGATCTGAATACTTGGCATTATTTGTTACTGAAAAAAAATGACATAAACGTTTTTAAAGGGTTACAGATTTTGTAAAAATGTTCTTTGGATGGGGTCATTTATTACTTACTTACTTTATTCCTTCATCAAAGAAAACAGAGTAAAAGAAACACAATAATACAAAAAGGGGGGAGAAAACAAAATGTATTTTGTATCAAAATATAAAAAATTATGCATTGTTTGCTATTGCTTTATTGCTTTAGTGTTATTATAGACACGGATATGCATAAGAAGCACTTTCATGAAATTAAAACAATCTATGTCAGTGCGCCCCAGGGCAGCTGTGGCTACAATGTAGCTTGCCATCGCCAGTGTGTGAATGTGTGTGTGAATGGGTGAATGACTGAATGTAGTGTGAAGCGCTTTGGGGTCCTTAGGGACTAGAAAAGCGCTATACAAATGCAGGCCATTTACCATTTACCATAGTAAGACCGTTTTTATTTTTACCTCTCCTTTTACTGTTTGAGCGTAAATGCAACTGACTACAAAAAAAAAACACCTTTGACATGTGGTAGAGTTGAACATTGGCATCGACAATAAAATATGAAAATATCAGGACAGGGGAAAAAAGATACTTGATAATTAATCACTATCAAAGTGATTCAAAGTGAGGAATGATGAGGAAAAAATTCATAAAAACTATTTGACCTTAATAGCTAAAGCACTCGTGTAGAGTAAAACAGAATAACGGGAGGAGAAATGCAATATCATGAGGTTAACTTTCCGTTAGCCTGAAGCTAGCCGAAGGTGAACATTACAGTTAAAGAATATTTTACAATACAAACGGTTCTCTGAGAGCCAGAAGAGGCGACAATGACTGATATTTACCCGGAATGTCATCTTCAGCTTCGCCTGCCATCTCTGCGGTACTTTAATCCGCTTTGATCCGCGCCTGTGGGCGTGTTGGTACCCTTCTGTTATTTTCGACTCGAACAACCCGGAAGTAAACAAAACTTCTCCTAGGCTACGAAGGAACACACGTGACTCTTAAAGAAACAGAGCCATTTCATGTGTCTCATTATTTATAGCAGGGGTCTCAAATAGGGTTGCCAACTCCCTGAAAAATAAATAAGGGACACCTCGTGGCCAGGACCGGGCGACCCAGTTGTCTTCACCCTTCCCAGTGTAGTGAATTTTCTAGCTCTTTTTTTGTGTGTGAAATTATTTTTTTAACCATTCGACTTGAAGTTGATTTAAGTAGATGCATATTCTATTCTTTGTGATATCAACACATGTGAAACAAATGATCATTTAGCTATTTATTTTTAGCTCAAAATGACAACATTAACACAATAAAACAGGTCTCTTTCTTAAACAGAAGCCTGTCATGCTTAACTTTTGAGAATATAAGTAAATCTTTCTTTAAAAGAACTCTGTCCTGCTTAACTTAAAATAATAGAAAACAATAGAAAGAAAAATATTCTTGTAACAGTGCCAAGCTGGTCAAGAAGGCTCACCAGCGCCTCTTCTTCTTGAGGACTCTGAGGAAGAACCACCTGTCCTCAGACATCCTGGTGAACTTCTATCGCTGCACCATCGAGAGCATCCTGACCAACTGTATAACAGTCTGGTACGGGAACTGCTCTGCCTCGGACCGGAAGGCGTTGCAGAGGGTCGTGAAAACTGCCCAGCGCATCGCCGGAGCACCACTTCCTGCCATAAAAGACATCTAGAGGAAGCGGTGTCTGAAAAGGGCTGGGAAAATCATCAAAGACCCCAGTCACCCATCACATGGACTCTCTGCCTCCTGACATCTGACCCACGTTAAACTCATGGACTGAACATACACACACCCACAATGGACAACTGTACCCTCAAACACAATAATAACATGGACTGAACCACCACTCACAACCACTAGCACTTTATGTAGCCTCTGTAGAAACTATCTACACCCTCACTTATCTTAACTGCACTACTGTATAGCTTTGTGTAAATAATCATTCTGTACATTCGATAATCTTTAATCCTACAACTGTTTACAACTTGCATAGTTCCCATTTCTGTATAGCTGTATATCTCAGATTTCTGTAAAGTTATTTATTTCATATTCTGTATAGTTTTTCATATTTATATCCTGTTCATATCCTGTACATACTTATAGTTATAGAATATTCACAACATACTTCATACCGTGTACATTATAACATACCATAATAGACCCATTTCTGTAATATACTCACATATCTATATTATTGCTAATATATATTGTAATATATCTATATCACTAAAGCACTTCTGGATGGATGCAAACTGCATTTCGTTGCCCTGTACCTGTGCATGTGCAATGACAATAAAGTTGAATTCTATTCTATTCTATTTAGTGCATTTAGTACAATTGGCTTCAGTTGAGGTATTATTTCAGCTTTTCTAATGCTAATCAGCTGCTCCTGTTTGTAAACCCACTTGTTCCCATGATTACGCATCATAACTCATCATCATTATTCACCTATGTATTACTTTTATGTATTAGTCATCTATTTGTTGTAATCATCTATCCTTGCAGTTGTTTATTACACAAAATAAATTATATTATCACACTTCTGGCCACATAGCGCTGATATTCACTGCACATGCCCATATTAACTTTTTCCAGCCAGGTGTTTTCCTTTTCCCATTCTTCCCTTTCTCTGAGGGAAACAAACATTGCTGCTCTAATGCTGGGCTTACACTGTGCGGTTTTAGGCCCATTTTGAGCCGATTTTTGAGTGATCGGACCGATTTTGGCCTTCATCGTGCGTCATGTAGTATACGTTGGGTAACGAGAAGTGATTAACACATCACGACCAGTTCCCGATCATCAATCGCTCGTGAGGGTGTCACCGCAGCTGCTCGCGCGCAAACACGTAAACGTCGGTGAAAAAGACGGAGCAGCATGGCAGTGCAGCGTGTGATCTGGACACAAGCGATGGAGGCACAACTTGTAGAACTTTGGAAAGCTCATCCGAGCCTTTTCGATGTGGCCTCACAAAATTATCACGACCACAACAACCGTGAAAATAGTTGGATTTACACTGCTGCTTAATCACAGCTGCCTGATCAATGTTTTTCATTAGCAATTTAGCAAAGTTGATGGTGGTGGTGTGTCTGTGTGAGTGAAAGACAGAGAGAGAGAGCGACAGATTTTCTGTTATAACCTTCATTTTATGGCGGGGGTAACTACTTTGGCACAACAGCGGCACAGTGTGAGCACTCAGGTCGCATCAGAGCATCGGGCGGTACAGTGTGAGAGTACATCGTGACCTATGAACTTCTAACCCCTGTGAGTCAATCGTGCAGTTTGAGCAGGAGCTGAATAACGTGACTGAAAAAATCACACAGTGTCTGCCCAGCTTTAGGTGTACTGTCGTCCGAGACTTGCACCGCAGTGTCGGCGTTTGTTTCCCTGTTGGCCATGCTTCTTGTTGTGGTCACCTGTTGTCTTCCGGTATTTTCTCCGAAAGCAACCTTTCCTCGACCAATGAGATGAGCGGTAATCTGAATTGTCATACTCGAATTGTCATAAGTGTGCTGTCAGCTCATTGGTCACAAAGCAGGAGAGGGGCTGGGAATTATGTTTTCAAACAAGGCGTTAATTCCATAAACATTTATAGACTACTTTTGGTTCTCACTGTATTACGGGACAAAGTGCGTCCCTTATTAGCTCAATACGGGACGTGTACTTTTGTTTCGAAATACGGGACGATTCCGTATTTTAAGGGACGGTTGGCAACCCTAGTCTCAAACTTACATGAGCAAGTAGTAAAGCAAGTAGCAAGTAGCAAAAAACTACGGTGGCCCCTATAGACAAAGCATGTACAAACTCCAAAACACTTACAAACTCTATAACACTTACAAAATTCAAAACATATGCAAAAACCAAAACACAACGGAAGTGCTCCAGGACGCTAGGGGCAGTATTGAGCTCGATTTGCAAAATAAACGGCAAGTTTGTTGCAAACTCATGGGCTGTATGGGACGGTCTAGGTTCCGTCGTGCTGCCCAGGTTGCCTAGTAACCATTGATACTAACCGCTGGAAACGTGTCATGCAACTTTGTTTGACAGAAATGAAGGAGAAGATATTTTGTTCATTTGTTTGTTTGTTTCTTGATTTGATAAGTATCTGAGGCTGAGACCACAGGACTGTAAAACATGATTTTTGGCCTTCATTTCTGTACTGAACGGTCATTTTAAGATTAGCTAGTAAATAACAATTAGCTAATTTTGTTCATGAGACTAAGGTAATATCATTTTGGTAATGTAAATATAATATAGCCAATATTATAGTTACAACTGCCTACAACTGCAAAGCTCTCCAGCGAGTAGTGCGGTGCTCTGAACGGATAATTGGAGGTGAGCTTCCCTCCCTCCAAGACATCTACAGGAAGCGGTGCCTGAGGAAAGCGGGGAGGATCATCAAGGACTCCAGTCACCCCAGCCATAAACTGTTCAGACTACTTCCATCAGGAAGGAGGTTCTGCAGCATCCGGTCCCGTACCAGCAGACTGAGAGACAGCTTCTTCCACCAGGCCATCAGACTGCTGAACACGTCATAGACACCTCACCTTCACTACTGGAACTTCAACATTATGCACTCCATACTGTACAGTAATGCCACTGTTTTGCACATGTCTCAACTCTGTATATTTTTATATATTTATTTATTGTTTACTCTATTTAATTTGTAAAATATGTGTATACACACACACACACACACACGTAGAAAAATATTTAGTATACACATTCAGAAATGCATATACTATTATATATTGTACATATTGTAACGATGGTTAAGTGTTACTGGACAGTGACATGTTGGTTTTCTCTGCACACTGTTGTTGTTCCTTTAAGATTCATGTTTGGTTGGGCTGCAGGAAGTAGTGAGGGTGGTGTACAGGAAGGGGTGGGGGGACCTGGTTGTTCTGTGTGTGTGCCAGGCTGAAGAGAGGTGTAGTTCGAGAGCGCTTCCCCCTGAGTTAACAACCCGCTGGCTTATGTGCCGAATAAACGGACAAACTGAGACCCCAACCGTCTGGTTCTTGTGAACATTACATTGGTGTCAGAAGTGAAGAAAGAAAAAAGAACCCCAGAACGCCCGAGACCCTGTTGCCGGCGACGCTTGCCGTTACGTGACGAGGATGTTGCCGGGCAGGATTAAGAAGGAGACGGAGGAGAGGGAGGTTCGTCCGCGCTCGCCCGCCCATGGAGTGAGGGAAACGGCGCTGCGGCTGTCTGCCGAGGCTGGATTTTCTCCAGGTTTGACTAGGCTCGGGAACTGTTCGCACAGCGGCCGCGATTCCGGCGGGAAGGAGTCGACCTCGCTTGGCGCGCCGTCACGTGATGTAAACAAACATGGCGGCGCCCAGCAAGCTGCAGCGAATATAAAAACTCCTAAGTTCAGCGGCAAGACGCCATGGGAAGTGTTTATCGCACAGTTCGAGCTGTTAGCTGTTGCAGCTGGCTGGTCTGAGGAACATAAAGCTCTCCAATTGGCTTTGTGCCTGTGTGAGGATGCAGCTGCATGCCTGCTGCTGCTGACCGAGGAGCAGAGGGGAGATTATAATGCTCTGGTCGGAGCACTTCAGAGCTGCTGGGGATGTGGACAAGTCGGACACCTCATCAGGCAGTGCCCCAAGCTTGCAGCGGTTCAGGGAAGCGCCCACGGGCCCGTGTAGGCGGGAGTACACGGGCCTGGGAGAACGACATCCCCACACCACCGCCACCTCCACCCGGTGCGGCCATCACTGTGGGCTGGACCCAGGTTGGCGGCTTTTGCCATGTTCCAGTGACGATTGCGGGGGTGTCCTGTACGGCCCTGCTGGACACGGGATCCAATGCAACGCTGGTCCGACCCGATATTGTCCCAACCGGAGCTGCTGTACAACCGACTAACGTGCAACTTAAGACTGTGACCGGTGATCTGGCCCCAATGAGAGGGAAGG